TCTCTTTCTCTTTCTCTCTTTCTCTTTCTCTCTTTCTCTCTTTCTCTTTCTCTCTTTCTCTTTCTCTCTTTCTCTTTCTCTCTTTCTCTTTCTCTCTTTCTCTTTCTCTCTTTCTCTTTCTCTCTTTCTCCTTCTCTCTTACTCTCGCACCGAATGCAACACTCAGCTTGAAGCGCCAGCTTGCGGAATGCGCGTTTCAGCTCGGTTTTATCCGCACTACGATCAACCCCGAGAAGCCCGTACAGGTCCACGTCTGCATCTGCAGCGACATTCGTGCCCGTCGCTGCGACAGTCGCCAACCGACGACGCGATACCGCCGATCCCGTGCGACCCCTGCCGACAGCAGCAGCGCTGCGAGATGGCAGGCGAAGCGAACGGCTAGTTTGACCGAATTGGGCACACGGCGCAAGTTGCGCTTCCAGTCGGCAGCCTCGAGATCCTTGTTTTCCCCTTTTCAGCTGCGAGCTCGTGGTTCGATACAGAGTAGCGGGAATGGCGGCCGATGCCATGGCGGTAAGGTTCGATCGGACACTTGGCAGAAGAGCAGGCGGAAAGGATGGACGAGCCTGCTACCGACTTTTAATAAACGGACGGTTTGCAAGCGGCGGTTTGGACTGTGAATGAATCTGCGCCGTTCGAATTCATGCATCTGTTGAGACGACCCCAAGGCGGCGCGCTGACGGGGAGCCACATTGGCGGTGGAGAGAATGGATAGATGTTACCGATTGGAGCTCACTCGTTATATACGTGACCATAGGGATCATTATGACCTTGTCCCGCCAATTAAAGTTGAAAAATGCATTTGTTTCATAGTGTAAGGAAATTTCCATTTCCTTACGCGGCATCCCAGCTTAGCGCATACATTACTGTTCTCGCCACACTCAGCACCGTTACCACTCACGACACTCGCCTCGACCATTTCCCGCCACCTCGCCCGTTGCAAACCAACCTCACGCCTCGGCTGGTAACACGCGCTCCAAGCAGGCCCCCAGAAGTCAGAAAAATTTCTCTGCTTTGCATGGAAAACTCTGATTTTCCATACTTTTTTTAAGTGCAACTCTGAAAGTTCAGATTTTTTTATGTCCTCAACTCTGAAAGTTAAGATTTTTTTATGGCCTCAACTCTGAAAGTTCAGAGTTTTTTTCTAGTGTACTCTGATTGAACAGACTAGAAACGCGTACCAACTCTGATTCAATGTACCTGTTTTGGCGCCGTAACTCGGGATTAGCGGTGGTGGCACAAGACTGTTACCCCGTCAATCACGGGTGATCAGAGACAGCACATCAGTTTCCACACCGACGCCCCTGCGGCGCGGTTTCCCCCTCGTAAGCACCAGCGCACACCAGCTTTGGGTGTTGATTGGTCCTTTTGGCAGCTTTTGCTAGCCACATGGACTTCAACGGCACCCACGTTGCTGCATTTGGCAGCCACGAAACACTGCAGACAGCAGTGCACGGCGGCCGTAGCGGCTCGTGATTTGGCGTGCATGGTAGGCTACCAGCCCACTGGAACGATGGCCCGCGAAGGGGTTAAAGAGCCATCGTCCGCGAGCTGGGGTTTCATCCCCACCTCAGGCTTCAGCAGCCTTGTCTGCACCCAGTCCCAGTGCTTTTTGTCTACCGCCACCACCTCCCTAGTGCCTGCTCGGCAGGCTTTCTCAGCCCCGCCATGGCGGTTCTCGACTGGTACCGCCTCAGGCGATGACGATGATGCCGTCCCTCATGCTAAAACCGGTATGGACTTTCTGCTTAGCTCACTAGCACTAGAGAAGGTTGCACGTTCTACGCCTGACACAATCCCCCTCCCAAAGGAAGCTGCACCTGCTGTTTTAAGTCCACCTGATGCTGCTGAGGCGATGGACGAAGAACCCACCGTTGGTTCTGCACCGCAACATGTCGTGAAGCCGCCCGCCATTGCTGCAGCCCGCAACGTCCGACTTAAGCAGGCAACGCTTAGTTTCGGGAAGACGTATGCGACGGCTGTGGTCGAGAACAACGTTGCCGGCCCATCTGAAAGGCCTCGTCCACGGCTGACCATCGATATGGACCAGATCATCGCAGATTTGTATGAGGATGCACACAACAAATTCAAGTCCCAGTGGTCTACTCGCTTTCCCTGGCTCGTGCTAATAAAAAACTCCTCTGGTCTTCCTGGATTTAAGTGCAGTGTGTGTGAAGTCCATGCTGGCAACCGAGGCAAATGTGGGAGGCGCGGGAAAGGTGCGACAGACATGCAAACACAATCCTTCCGTAAGCACGCCGGCACACAGAAGCACAAGCTGGCGATGTCGAAGTTAGCCGCTCTGAAGGAGAACGGGGCTCGGCAGCCGTTGATTGATCAAGTCACGGTCGACGAGGAGAAGCTGCGCGTGGAGTCCCTTCTTGACTCACTGCTGTTTGTCAGCAGGTGCTACGCGCCAATGGGACTGTGGGTGAAGCTTGTTCGGTACTTGGCGGAGAAGGGTGTTGAAGGGATTTCCGAAGAAAGGCTACGGCACATACTACACCACGTAAGTTATGCTAGTTGCTTTGTACATAGTATGAATTGCTGCTTTCCACGTTCGATGCGGAAACATTTTACTGACAATAAACTTTTATGTGTAGGTACGGGTTCGGGGAGTTAACGCAGGCGACGGCAACTTGGCTTGAGACAACCCAGCTGGAGCACGTGCTGACAAGTCCCTTCGTCGGCATCTCCATCGACGAGAGCACGGATCGGTGCAGTGGGAAACACATGATACTGTTAAGTTGTAATGTGTTATATGTTGGTAGGCTGTAGTGGGGTAGCCAATATAGGGTACAACCCCAACTAGGGTTAGCTACTTGTACCCAACTGTTTCTTTCAATGCACCATTCTCACGCTAGTATTATTACATGGTATCAGAGCAGGTGGTCCCTAGGACCATCCGATCGTTTTTTTTAGGGCCCACCACCGCACGCTGCGGTTACCGCGTTACCCCCGCGCCCTACCCTCGTAGCGCCCTCGTTGCGCCCTAGCGCCCTCGTAGCGCCCTTGTAGCGCCCTCGTGCGCCCTGCCGACCGGCGTCCTGCCAGCCCAGAGCCCCGCGCGCCTCCCCTGCTTTGCCCGTCGCGCCGCCCGCTCTGCCCCGCGCTGCCCGTCGCGCTGCCTCGCAGCCCCGCGCACCGCCCGCTGTGCCCCGAGCCGCCCGTCGATCTGCTGCGCAGCCCCGCGACCCGCCCGCCCTGCCCCGCGCTGCTCGTCGCTCGGCTCTGCAGCCCCGCGCGCCGCCCGCTCTGCCCCGCGCAGCCCGTCGAGCTGCCTTGCAGCCCCGCGCGCCGCCCGCTGTGCCCCGTGCTGTCCGTCGCGCTGCCCGCCCGCCCGACTCGCTCCCCGCTTGCAGAGCCGCCCGTCCGCCGCGCTGCCCGCTTGCAGCGCCGCCTGCTGCTCCCTGCCCGTGCGCAATTGCCCGCCCCTGCTGTGGTAGCTTGCGTTGCTCTGCCGTACTGTCGCTATGGCTTCCATCCGCGTGCTTTCGTTCGATGCTGAGGGCCGCCCTGTGCAGTTCACCACTTGGCTAGATGACCTGCAGCTGTTCCTCCTGAGCGATAGCAAGGAGCATGTGTCGCTCTATGATTACGCGTCTGGTGCTGCGCCTGCCCCTCCTGCCACAGCAGAGCTTAGTGTTCGTTCCCACTGGCAGACTCGTGACGCAGCTGCTCGCCTAGCCATTCGCAGTCACCTGCCGTTAGCTGAGCTCGAGCATTTTGGCGACTGCAAAACCGCTAAGGCCCTGTACGACGCTGTCGTTGCCCGCTATTCCTCACCTGCCACAGCCGAGCTTAGCCGCCTTATGCTGCCTTACCTGTTCCCTGAGCTGTCCACCTTTGCTACAGTCGCCGATCTTATCACCCACCTTCGCACTAGTGACGCTCGCCTGCGTGCCGCCCTTCCCACCGAGTTCTGCGCTAAGAACCCCCCTCCACTGTACTGGACACTCCACTTCATAGTCACCCGTCTCCCTGACACCCTTAGCTCAGTGCGCGACTATTTCCTTGCTCGCTGTCCCACTGAGCTCACTGTCGCCCTCCTAGAGGAGAAACTGCTAGCAGCCGAGAAGAGCATTGTAGCTGTAGGTGCTGCTCGTGGCGCTCCTCGCACCCCCATCTTTGAGGGGTGTTCTCCCTCTCCCCTCGCTCCCTCCTACGCTACTGCTGCTGCTGTTGACTTCCTTGGTGCTGAGTCTGCTGGCGCTGCTTCTGCTCCTGGTGGGAGGCGCCGCACCGGCAAGGGCAAGGGGGGCAAGGGTGGCGGGGGTGGCGCTGGGGGGGGAGGAGGTGGGGGAGGTGGGGGGGGAGGCGGTGCTGGAGGGAGCGGTGGCGGGAGTGCTGGTGGGAGTGGGGTCGGCAGCGGAGGCGGGGGCGGCGGAGGGAGCGGTGGCGGTGGTGGCGGCGGCGGCGGTGGCGGCGGTGGCGGCGGCGGCGGTGGCGGTGGCGGCGGTGGCGGTCGGAGCGGAGGTAGTGGTGGCGGCGGAGGTCGGAGTGGAGGCACTGGCTCGGGCCAGAGCTCCCACCAGCAGCAGCGTCCCCAGACGACCCAGCAGCTTCGTGAGTGGCTTGCTCAGCGTGGGACGTCGGGGGGCAGTGGCCGCTGTTCCTATGTCATTCGCACAGGTGACCGCAAGGGACAGACGTGTGGGAGGTTCCACACCCCGTACCGCTGCTTCTCCCGCCTTGACGACGCTTGGCGTGAGGAGATCGGCGAGGATGTTGAGCGCCCCCGCTGGGCGGAGCTGATGAGGGCTGGTGTTGATATCTTTGCTCTTGACTATGATGCTATTATTGCTGCCATGTATGCATTGACTGTTAGTGCCGAGGGAGACTGTTACTTGTGTGTGCCGCCTGACCCAGGTATAGAGCCCGCTGCCCTAGGTACTAGTGAGTCTGCTCTCTCTGGTACGGTCCCCTCTGTGGCTGCTCCCTCCAGTACTGTCCCTGCTGCTTGTGAGTCTGCTCTCTCAGGTACAGCACCCACAGAGACTGCTCTCTCAGGTACTGCACCGGCTGAGGCCTGTCACACCTTCACCCTTGACTCAGGTGCTTCCCGCTGTTTCTTTCGTGACAGTACTGAGCTCACACCGCTTCCTGCACCGGTCCCAGTCTCCTTGGCTGACCCCTCGGGGGGCCCAGTCCTGGCACGGTCCACCACTGTGCTCCCGTGTCCGGCGGTTCCGTCTGGCTCGTTGTCGGGTTTCCACCTCCCCTCGTTCTCGACGAACCTGGTGAGCAACGCTGTCATCCAGGATCAGTGGGTTGACACCTTTACCCCTGGAGGACAGCGTGTGGCGATCCTCACGTGCTCCAGGACCGGCCGTCACCTGGCTACGTTTACCCGTCAGCCGGGATCGAGTCTCTACACACTGACCACTGCGTCTCCTCAGGTCGCTGCTGTCGGTCAGGTGTCCGCGTCAGGTCTGGTAGCCCACGCCTGTGAGTGTCGTTCCTTGTCGCACCAGACCCTTCTCTGGCACCACCGCCTGGGTCACCCCTCCTTGCCACGCCTCCGTGGCATGCACCGTCGCCACCTTGTGTCTGGTCTTCCCAGGTCCCTCCCTCCCCTCCCTGCCTCGCCTGCGCCGCCTTGCCTTCCTTGCGTCGAGGGGCGGCAGCGCGCCGCTCCTCACTCCTCCTCGTTCCCCCCGACAGAGGCTCCTCTGCAGACCCTCCACCTGGACGTGTGGGGCCCAGCCCGCGTTCGTGGCCAGGGCGGTGAGCGGTACTTTTTGCTGGTTGTCGACGACTACTCGCGCTACACCACGGTCTTCCCCTTGCGCACCAAGGGTGAGGTCCCTGCTGTTCTGATCCCTTGGATCCGCACAGTTCGTCTCCAGCTCCGCCGCCGTTTCCGGACAGACCTTCCTGTCCTGCGTCTGCACTCTGACAGAGGTGGTGAGTTTTCCTCCGACCTCTTGCGGAAACACCTTCTGTCAGGCGGAGGGCATCGAGCAGACCTTCACGCTTCCGGACTCCCCACAGCAGAATGGGGTTGCTGAGCGCCGCATTGGCCTGGTCATGGAGGTCGCTCGTACCTCCTTGGTCCATGCGGCGGCTCCCCATTTTCTGTGGCCGTTTGCTGTCCGGTACGCCGCGCATCAGCTCAACCTCTGGCCCCGTGTCTCCTTGCCGGAGACCTCGCCCACACTGCGTTGGACGGGGGAGGTTGGCGATGCGTCGCGCTTCCGGGTGTGGGGTGCTCGTGCCCTTGTCCGCGATACGTCCGCGGACAAGCTCTCCTCCCGCACGCTTCCCTGTGTCTTCCTTGGCTTTGTCCCTGACGCGCCTGGCTGGCAGTTTTACCACCCCACCTCGCGCCGGGTCTTCGCCTCTCAGGACGTCACCTTTGACGAGTCGGTCCCTTTTTACCGTCTCTTCCCCTACCGCACTGCCCCCCTCCCTCCCCCGCCGCTTTTCCTCGCTCCTGGTCCCCCTCCGGTAGACCCCCTTCCCCCTCAGGGTCCTGCTCCTTCAGGTGTCTCTCAGGTAGACCCTCCTCCCGTTGCTGAGCCTGTCGAGGTCACAGGTGACTCAAGTGCTGGTGCGGGTGGTGCTGCTGGGAGTGCTGAGCCTGGGGGTGCTGGGCCTGGGGGTGCTGGGGCTGCGGGTGCTGGGACTGAGGGTGCTGGAGCTGAGGGTACGGTGCCTGAGCGTACGGAGCCTGGGGGTGCTGAGCCTGGGGGTACGGAGCCTGGGGGTGCTGAGCCTGGGGGTGCTGAGACTGGGGGTGCTGGGCCTGGGGGTGCTGAGCCTGGGGGTGCCGAGTCTGGGGGTGCTGAGCCTGGGGGTGCTGCGCCTGAGGGTACTGAGCCTGGGGGTGCTGCGACTGAGCCTACGGAGCCTGGGGTTGCTGCGTCTGGGGGTGCTCCGGTTCGGGGTGCTGAGCAGCCTCTCACTCAGCAGCAGCTTCGTGACTGGTACGTCCGGCGCTTTCGCCGTCCTCGTGGCCCTGCTGGAGTTGGAGGTTCTGGAGCTGCTCGTCCTGGAGGTGCTCGTGCTGGAGGTACTGGAGCGGCCAGGGCTGGTTGTTCTGGGAGCAGTAAGGCTGGAGCTGCTGGAGCTGGGGCCTCTGGAGCTGGTGGTGCTAGCGGAGTTGGAGCTGCCGGCTCTGGGGGTGCTCTTCCTGGAGGTGCTGGAGCTGCTGGAGCTGACGACACTGGAGCTGACGGTCTTGGAGGCGTTGGTCCTGCTGGTTCTGGAGGTGCTGGCGAGGGGAGGTCTGCCGCTGCTGGGGCCTCTGGTCGTCGTGTCGCGCGTCCGCGTCCTCCTCCTGTTCCTGGCACGCACATTATGGCCCTTCGTCCTTCCACTGGTCCACAGCGTGTCCCCCTACCGTCTCCTCCTGCGTCTTCTCTTCCTGACGTTCCCGACCCTGAGTCTGACAGTGTTCGTGCTGCCCACCCTACTGTTACGCGTCTTCTCGCCACCGTTGTCACTGACCCGTCGTTTGAGTCTGCTGCTGCGTCTGCCCTGGTCGCTGAGCTTGTCGACTTTGCTGCTGCCTGTCGTCTAGACTACGCCGCCAGTCTTGTTGCTGAGTCTGAGTCTGTCTGTCCTCCGTCCGTCGGGGGTGAGTGTGCTCTTGGCACGGACGTCCTTGAGGACAGGCAGGAGGACTTTGACTCTCTTGCGGCTGCTGTACCTCATCTCGTGGCCTGGTTGCTTGCCCTTGAGGGAGACCCGGATGCACTAGACATCCCCACTCCGCGCTCTTACGCAGAGGCGATCTCGGGTCCCTACTCCTCTCAGTGGCAGACAGCCATGGACGCAGAGATGGCATCCTGGAAATCCACAGGCACTTACGTCGACGAGGTTCCCCCTCCTGGGGCGAACATCGTCGATGGCATGTGGATTTTCAGGGTGAAGCGGCCGCCAGGTTCTCCACCTGTCTTCAAGGCTCGTTACGTTGCTAGAGGCTTCAGTCAGCGTCAGGGGGTTGACTTCTTTCAGACCTTCTCCCCCACCCCGAAGATGACCACTCTTCGGGTTCTGCTGCACGTTGCTGCTCAGCGTGACTACGAGCTTCACTCTCTTGACTTCAGCACAGCGTTCTTGCAGGGCAGCCTGCACGAGGAGATCTGGCTGCGCCGCCCACCTGGCTTTACTGGGTCGTTTCCGCCAGGTACCCAGTGGAGCCTCCGGCGGCCAGTCTACGGTCTCCGCCAGGCGCCACGCGAGTGGCACGACACACTGAGGACTACACTTGCGGCTCTTGGGTTTGCTCCTTCCACTGCTGACCCGTCACTGTTCCTGCGCACAGACACGTCGCTGCCGCCGTTCTACATCCTCGTGTACGTCGACGACCTGGTCTTTGCTACTGCTGACACTGAGGCTCTCGCTCGTGTGAAGTCGGAGCTGCAGAAGAGACACACCTGCACTGACCTGGGAGAGCTGCGTAGCTACCTTGGCTTGCAGATCACCCGGGACAGAGCACGCCGCACCATTACCCTGACTCAGTCACACATGGTGCAG